CTTCGCCTCGGTGCCTGCCTGAGTGCGCGCGCACTCACTCCCCCGAGGGAGGCTGGAGACACAGCCAATCAGGGAGCCTGCGTGGAGATGGGGGGCAGCAGAGAGAGGAGGGCGGCAGAGGGACAACGCGGGAAAGGAGGAGGAGGGCGGGAGGCACACCTTGGGGGTGGTGGAGGGGGCGGGGGTGGAGGCAAGAGCAGCCAGCTGCACCTCCTTCCCTCCCCTCCCGCCCCCCCTGACCCGCCAGCGCTCTGCAGAGAAAAGCGACCAGGGGGGCGGAGTGCAGCCAGAGCCATGCAAAGAGCCCCAGGCCTGTCTCACACGCTCTCAGGCCAGGAAGCGACTGCTGCTGACCGAGTGGCCCATCCGCCCGGCCCTCGAGCAGGTTCTCTCCTCCCCGGGTCTTCATCCGACCCCCAGCCAGCGGCCTCCGCCCTCGCAGTCAGGGGAGCCTTCGGAGCTGGTCCGCGCTCCGGGACTAGGAAGGGGTGTGAAGAGGGAGAAAAGGTCCCCGCCGGCAGCAGCAGCCTCTCCCGCTCATTCGTGCCCTACTGGTTGCTCCGGGACACTCGTCCTCTCTCCCCCGCTGAGGGCTTGGGGCGCCTGGCGGCGGCAGAGGAGCAGGAGGAGGAAAGTGCCGCACCCTGCCCAGAGAAAAGGCCCCTCCCGCCCCCTGCCCCCGCAGCCGGGCAGGAGAGGCCGAGAAGGGCAGGGGGGGAGGAAAGTTCCGCACCCTGCCCACGCCGCCGGCAGCCGTGTCCTCCTCCTGCAGCCAGGCAGCAGAGCTCCTCCCAGCCCCGCTCCTCCCAGCTGCTGGCCAGGCGCGTCAGCGCCCCTGCTCTCCTCCCGCGCCCTAACGGCCGGCTCGCGCTCTAGGCGAAGGCCTAGTTCGCCTAGCGGGCGAGCCGGCCCTGGCTCCAGAGCCTAGAAAGAGATAGGCCTGCACATGCATGGTCCCATGCGGGACTGCACAGAAGCCATGAAGATGAACACACTCTTCCCAACCATGCACCATTTTATTAATACATGACGGCAAATACATTTGTTCCAATACAAGCTTCTGCACACATAACTGGATAGGGCATCAGACACATAATGGCTGCTATACACACAGTACCTAAAACAAATCCTGTAGCCAAGGTTATGCACATACAGCCTGGAGTACACATCAGCTATTCTAAGTAATGAATGGTTTGCAGGACTCAGGGGCTTGTGTGTGTGTGTGTGTGTGTGTGTGTGTGTTCGTTCCTGCTTTCCTCTCCCCCACTAATTGATGCTATTCATAATGTCTGGCCAAAGCGATGCACAACAGCTCGACTGCTGTGTAAGCCTACCTACATTTTGGACTTCAAATTACCAATTTTGTTTCCAGAGTGGAACTTGTATATTAGGGATCCTCCTCTATTTGTTTGATTTCTGAATCCTATGCAGAACTTTGTGTGCATGCACACTTTGGCAAATATTTCAGTTAATTCCCATCTTTCCACCCTTGACATTAAACAAAACACTGCAAACGAGCAATCTTGTATGACTGAAATATGGTTCTTTTGTTCAGAAGCACAAACACCATACAAAAGGAATCTTGAAACAACTGCAACATACAAGCACACTACGATTACATTTTTGCAATATTTTACTGAAGCACATATGTACATCAGTAACAAGAAAAAGGGTTGGGAGAAGCAAATGAACTGAAGCAAATGAACTGAAGGAAGTGAAAGCTACATAAAACTAGGCTCCAGTTCTGGAATAAATTTTTTAAAATGCTCCTAATTATGGCAGAATGCAAGAAGAGTGCCATGCAGGGCAGAGCACATCCTCAGAACAATTATAAAATGAAACTGGGGAAACCCACTGATTGCTGGATACCACACAATATTTTAACCAGAGACCAGAAACCCAAAGACTACCTGGCACAAGTTTGGAAAAGAAAAATCCTTGGTGTGGTTAAGGTAGTGAGAAAAGTAACTGACTTCCCTAGCAAAAGGCACAAGGAACTAGTCTTACCTTAATAACATTGTGGCTCCACAGACAATGCTTGCTATACTCTAGGGCAGTGGTGGCGAACCTATGGCATGGGTGCCAGAGGTGGCACTCAGAGTCCTCTCTGTGGGCATGCGTGCCATTGCCCCAGCCAGGCCCAGACCAACATTAAAGCGTCGAATTCTCTGCCAAGTAATTTTAAGTAAATGAAAGCATTTGGGATTGCTTTCCTTACTTTGTTTGGATCATCTTACATTAATGTATGAGTTGTTTTTCTAAAGTAAAACCTCAATATTCAGGTTTAATTGCTGTGTTGGCACTTTGCGATAAATAAGTGGGTTTTGGGTCGCAGTTTGGGCACTCAGTCTCTAAAAGGCTTGCCATCACTGCTCTAGGGCCAGTATGAATGAAAGAAGTGATGGAATGAAGAGGAAAAGAAGGATGTGTGCAGTCTGTATTGTCCCTCAGTAACATCACGGACAAAAGAGCTGCAGATCTGATGCTGAGCTAAACAATTTATGGTCATTCCATGGCAATCTTTTCAGTGAGATCGAGATATATATCTTTCGATTTATTAATCGCTCAATCCTGCAGAGCTGTTGGTTCTGAGCGATTTACAGTTACTCATATACACACGGGACTAACAATGATTCATAGGGGGTAAGGGAGGACAACATATAAATCTTTTTAAGTCGCACACGTTTGCAGCTGACGGGGATTTTGTTCAGCTGTAGCCTCAGACGTGTTCCAAACGGCATTGACTCAGCTTGGCTTGATGACGTCAGTTTTTCCAGGACTGCTTCGAGTCTCAGCACCACACTGCCACCGCCTGGCTGGATTTGCCCATCACAGGCTTCTTAATGCCGAAGAGATCTTTCCAGACTTACGAGCTGGACATTCCGTTTCGCCGGCTAACACCTCCCCCCACCGGGGGGGTTTAGTGTGCTCATCCTCTCTAAGGAGTGGTACCCATTTTATCTACTCACCAAAGCTTTCGAACCGCTGGGTGGATGGCGAGCTGGGGACAAGGCTGGTAGCTCACACCAGCACGGGCTAGAACTGACAGCAGTTCTGTTCAGTTCAGATGTTACTGTAACCAGAGGATAAAGTCCCCCAGTCATTTGCAGTACAAGGTTCTCTCTCTTTCTGCAGCTCAAACTAAGCTTATTATGGCCTAAGGCACCTTTCCTTAGGAGCAAGTTCTCATCTGAAGTTAAATTGCATTTTTTTTGCCTACTGCAAGTTGCTCGAAGTCAAGAATCTCAAATACATTACAAATTTAAACCACTGTGAAACAGATTTCAACTATCAGGACCCTGCCCAGTCCTCAAAGGATTCCCAAAAACTAAAGTTTGTGAACAGTGCTAAGAATTCTTTGCTAAAGATCTCTTGCACCTCCATGGAACTACAGATCCTAGGATTTCTGTGGCCGGGATTGGAACTGATATAAGTGTGTAGTGTAGACATGCCGTGCTTCATGTTGTAAAATGAAAAAAGTGATGGGGCTTAAGCTCACCCAGATGCCAGCCTAATCAACCTTGAAATCCAGCCTTCTAATCCATTCTAATGTGTGTAGGTTGGCTGTGCTTCTTTGGCCTGATGGGGTTTGTGCCAGGAGTCCTGTGGAGCAGGCAGCCTCCGGACAACATCAGGGCTGCTAGCTGGAGGAAGGTACTACTGGCCATTCCAGGCAGGAATATGATCCCTGGAAGCCAGACTTACAGACTCCTTCAGTCTGAGGAACTCATCATTACTGGAGGTCACTCCATTTCTTTGTGCACCTCCGAACCAGACCACTCACCTTCTGACTCCAGCCTGTCTCTCTTCAGACTGTCAGCCTGCCATCAGCAGGGGCTAGGGTTCCCAGATCTGGGTTGGAAAATACCTGGAGATTTTGGGGGTGGAGCCTGACAAGGGTGGGGATTCAGAAATAGAGGGACTTCAATGGGGCATAATGCTATAGAGTCTACCAAAGCAGCCATTTTCTCCAGGTGAACTGATCTCTGTTGCCTGGAGATCAGTCGTAACAGCGGGAGACCTCCAGCCACTACCTGGAGGTTGTCCAACCAAGCAGGACAGAGAGGAATAGATATACTTTACCTAGGCCTGAGAGTCCAGGTTGCAAGCTCATTGCCAGAAATAAAATGCAATGTTGTTTTCCATAACACATGTGACTGTATGTACGGGACAGAGTCCTGTGCAGGTGTTACAAGTATGTACAGAACCCAACCTAAGCTATATGGTGAATGTGATCAGAAGCACACTATATTTTACTTTCTTCTCTTAAGGGAACTACATGCTTCCCCTAAGCCATAAGCTCTTGCAGCAGCAATCAAAAAAGAAATCAAAACATCATAATACATTTCAAATTCCTAAATAATTAACTACCAATGACACCAGTAAAACAAAATATAAATGTATAATCTGTATCTCAGGGAAAGGGAAAGAAATCTATAACCTCATCAGTCAAATGTCTGGGTTTATAACCTGGGACCTGAAATTAAGAAGGAATGGAGCCAGGTATATAGCTGGGAGTGGGTATTCCCTAGACAGGGAGCCAATACAGAGAGGACCTTCTGTCTGGTAGTCCTCTGCCTCTCTTCCTGAAGTAAGGGACACATGGAAAAGGGCCCAACTTTATGACCCAAATCCTCAAGCAGGTACAATTGCAGGTGTTCTTCTTCTGTCCTCCAACACTGAAAGGAGTTCTGGGGAGTTCATTCTAGCACATGCTAAACCCTACTAGAGTCCTGATTGGCCTTCAAAAACATATCACCTTAAACAAGTGGGCCATCTCTCTGTCTTGAGGCAGCATTTCTTTACTCCTCTATCACCAATAAACTCACAGAATAGATATACATAATGATCAGCTGACACCACTCAAATCATACAGCCTTCTTTCATTCCACTGGAGGCATTCATTTGCTTAATTGAAAGCAGGGGCAGTGTCTGGCTGACATATCACACAGTTCCAGACACTGATATGTGCACATCACCATGAAACCTGTTGCACTCACTTGGGATTCCTGAGACAAGCTTCAGGGGCCTCAACACTCGGACAGCTCTCAGAGTCCGTAGGTCAAACTGGGTCCCAGCTGTAGCCAGAATCCTAATTGCAGGAAGGAGAGAAAGAAATTGTATCAATTGTGAGCTTTTCATTATGTGAATAAAACCAAGTTACTATGAATATTCAAGACTATGGAACTTAGTTATTTATTTATTTATTTATTAAACTTATATCCCGCCCTCCCCCGTAGGGCTCAGGGCGGCTTACATAGCAAGAAATCTTGCAATAATAAAACATCACATAATGTTATGAAAAGCCCCAGCCCTAGATTATAAGGTTTTTGGTTTAAACTTCCAATTCCATAGCAGTGAAGCACTGAATCAGCATTGCTTGATTGCCATCACAAATAAAAATCTGACTTTGCAGCAGTACCCTGGTTTTGCACACAGGGCAACAGTGGCAAATGGGGACTCAGAGGCTTGCACACGAACGTCATGGTCTAGTGATCTATTGTGAAATTGTACAATTGGGCCTTAGAGCTCAATCTTCAAGCAAAGGAAGGACGAGCAGTATACAACCTCTGTAGCCTCTGGTATCGGTGTAAGGATACCTTCTGCCTTTGCTTAATCAACAAAATATATCTTCTGCATGCTGCAAAACTTAGTTCAACATTAAGCCACCCATTCCAGGAATATACACTCTAGTGTAAGCCAGGCAGACCCTCCCCCCTCTTTAGTGAGAGGCAATATGGAGGAGAACACCTCCATTTTACAGCACTCCTGGAATGTATAAGCCAGGCAGACTTGATCTGAATAAATAAGATGGATCCCAGACAGGCAGACCTTATAATTATGCCTAGGCACAAACCATGGTAAGTGTGACATCTTGGTCTGACCCAGCTGCAGCCTCTACCTCCAACCTGACATCTGCATACACCAAACAATGGACCTGCCTTGCCCCAGAGCTAACACCATTCTACCTGGATCACTAATCCTATCAGTCTCCCAGAGGTCGATTCGGGGGGGAATGCGGGGGATCGCAGTTCCCCCGGGTGAGGTGCGGGGGCGGGGCACATGACGAAGCCCCGCCCCTACTTCCGGTCGCCCCGCTTCCGGCCCTCATTCAGCCAGGAGGAGGCAGGAGAAGAGAGAGGGTAAGTTGCTTCCTCCCCGCTTCTCCCCACCCCTGCCTGCCTGGGGCCAGGGAGGGCCTTGGCGGGGCTTCCTCGCACTCCCACCAGCCTTGCAGGTCCACCGCCGGGCCCCTGATGTCAGGGGGTGTGGCATATGCTAATGAGTTATGCTAATGAGTTCCCCTAGCTCTTTTTCTATGAAACTACCCCTGCAGTCTCCCCTCACCTTTTCCATACCCACATGTCCTTCACAATGACGGTTCCACTCTTTGCCACTTAACACAAAGGAGGGTCATCAAGCAGCAAACTTCCAAACAACCCGGCCTATGCTTCTTGGTTATGCTTTTGAATATAAAATAGTATAACATACCCCAGTATTACAAACTCTGCACTGTATATAACAATATAGCTTTTATCAGTATCCTCATAACAAGAGTTTTTAGTCGATATATATTTATTAGTAACGATTTTTTTAAGTGCTCTTGGATTTAGACGTCAATGTAGTTAGAATTTTTTAAAGCAAAGTGTTTACTGTTTGGTATTTATACTCTGCTTGGTTTTGGTATTTTTGATGTAGTATTAAAATCTTTTAAAAAAAAAAAAGCAGCACTGTGTCTTTTTTATTAGTTTAATTATCAATCCATTAGCCCTCCATCACCGGAGGAAGCAATCAGAGCTTCAGCCCATATGCTATTTTATATCCAAACACCACATAAGAATATCTCCTGTTCTTCTTTGCCTATACCTGGGAGCCCTTTTCAGCATTCCCAGACTCATTGTTTTACCTTTATTTAATCCCATCAATCCTTTGCTTCATGGGGCTGTCACATCCACCCAGATCCAATTGTTCCTATAACTAGGCAGCCTCAATTCCATTGTTGTGTGTTTGCTCTGGGCTCCTAGTGACAACGCACCCCCATATTGCTTGGGCCTTCTGTGAGACTTTGGTCAGCTTACTTTCTCTCTCCATGGACTTCTACTCTACAGCTATACTTCTTCCCCAACCACCCTTTTTATTCCTGCCACTCCCTTTATTTCCAAATTGAACGTGTATATGTGTGACTCCTTGCATGCTTATTGTATGTTAGTACTCTCATTTTCTCTTCAATAAAATTAATCTCTATTTTACCTTTGGACTGGTTATTTGAGAGTTCTCCTAAGGGAAAAATCCCCATAAAACATAGGTGGAGATTCCTGCTAGTTACCGCCCTCTCGCAAAGCCATTTTGTCTCCTTCGCTAATTCCCCTAATAAACAGGAGATAGCCTTTCTGGACAAATATAGCATTTGAGGTAACACTAGGCCTAGATTTTAAAGGTAAAGGTTCCCTTGCTCGAAAGCCAGTCGAATCCGACTCTAGGGTTGCGGTGCTCATCTCCATTTCAAAGCCAAAGAGCCAGCACTGTCCGAAGACGTTTCCGCGGTCATGTGGCCGGCATGACTAAACACCAAGGTGCACGGAACGCTGTTACCTTCCCACCGTGCACCTTGGTGTTTAGTCATGCCGGCCACATGACCACGGAAACGTCTTCGGACAGTGCTGGCTCTTCGGCTTTGAAACGGAGATGAGCACCGCAACCCTAGAGTCGGACTCGACTGGCTTTCGAGCAAGGGAACCTTTACCTTTACTTTAGGCCTAGATTTGCATATGGCAACCCAACCTGTTCCTGATCACAGCTACTGTGTGCTTTTTGAGGATCATATGAATTGGTCTTGCAATTCTTCCTTCCTCTCACATTACTTTTTGTTCCCTGTGTTCCGTACTAGCCAGTATATTTCCTTGAAGCGCTCCCAGCTGGGTTAGTGGTTTTAGGTATCTTTTCTCTCCCCCAAGAAACTGGACAGGGATGCTATGTTCTGGGACAGCCAGCACCCTGCTGCATACTGAGACAACAAAGGATGTTGCAAGTTGGCAGAAAGCCATCTTGCAAGGTCTTTGCGAGCTCAATGAGAAGAAAACCAAGTTTCCAAATGTGGCTGCAAATCAAAACAGAAAAAGAAGGAAAACTCAAGAACCTTGATTTGAGAGAGTAAAATACAGTGGATATTGGAGAGAAGACCACCAAGGAAGGAAGGAATTGCAGACAACTCTGGGTCTCAAGTACAAGCAGCAGAGCTGGAGGCAGGCAGCCAGTCCTCTCACAGCATGACACCTGTCCCCAGGCAATACGTTTGGTGCTCTATTCTCCATTGTTATCAAATGTATACAAAAATGGGAGCAATTATATATATATATGTATGTATATGTATAAAACATGAGCTACTGAACTGATCACAAGCTGCTGAAAGTAATTTGAAGCAATAACTATAATGCTCAGAGATGTCTCATTTTGTGCTCCCATCCTCATGCCAGCCCTTGCTCACTTTCTTCCCCACATTTTAATTGCTCATTTATAAAATATCAGATGCCTGGCAGGAGCAAACACTTCATCCAAAAGTTAATCATCAGACATTCCCATCAATGGCACAATTGGTCTCTGATGACTTTCAAGATGGGTTTGCCTTGGTCTGCACAGGGGACACTAACTTACTGGGCAAAGGAGGCCACTCGACTCTTTAAACCTGTTGAAGACTAGCTGCAGCACAGCAACTGTTAGATACCAAGATGGAAAGGGTGTGTAGCTGGTTCCCTTCCAGTTCTTATGCCACTCTCTTCCTGCTGCACCTAGAAGACTCTTGTCCAATGTACCCTCTAAGCTGAGTGAGTGTGAGCTAGCTCACAGTTTTCTGGCTCCGGTTCACACATTTTTGTCTTAACTCAGGAAGGATGGCTCCAGAGCAAACTAATTGATGCAGTAGCCAAATCGTTCACTCACAACTTTAATGCCAGTAGCTCACAAAGCAGAATTTTTGCTCACAAGACTCCACAGCTTAGAGGGAGCATAGCTCCTGTCCAGTGTTCCCTCTAAACTGAGTTAGTGTGAGCTAGCTCACAGCTTTTTAGCCTCCAGCTCACACATTTTTTTCTTAGCTCAGGAAGGATGGCTCCAGAGCAAACTAATTTATACAGTAGCCAAATCGCTCACTCACAACTTTACTACCAGTAGCTCACAAAGTAGAATTTTTGCTCACAAGACTCCACAGTTTAGAGGGAACATTGCTCCTGTCCTATTCTTCTCTTATGTAACACACCTGTAGGAGCTACAACGATATTCTCAGACACAAAATAGAACTTATGCTAAGGACAGGCCTCCATGGGAGACACTGTCCTCTCATGCAGCACAGCCTTCATTCTGCAATGTTATCATAAGAATACAAAAAGAGCCCCACTGGATTAGAAGATACATCTAATCCAGTATTTTATACCAACAGTCACCAGCAGGATGCTTCTGAGAGGGCCTATAAGCAAGGGCACCTATGGTTTGCCTTCAGCAGCTGGTATTTAGAGGTACTCTGTACACAAAAGCTTCGCTTTGTTAAGATTAATCTATATGTCTAATACCCAAGAGCTGGCTTTCGAGCAGACAGGCAAATCTACCCAACAGGGTAAGCCCTGGATAATGAAAATAACAACAGCAAAAATATAATAATAATTATGATGTTGTTGTTGTTGTAATTATTATAACAACAACAGTTAGATTACCCCTCACATACAGACACACAAAGCCAGTAGTGATGTCTACAGATGTTTGAGCACTGCAAAAAAAAAAACTGAGTTCAGGCATCACTCTAGGTTTCTATAGCAACCCAAACGGCTTGCGGGAAAAGTGACAGAAAGGAGCAGGTGAGGAAGAGAAACTGGAACTGGCTCCAGTTCCCTTCCCTGGCTGCTTCTTTCCACTTCTCCCCTTGCTGCATTGGAGCAGAGTGAGAAGGCAGGAGGGAGTAGGGAAGCCTAAGTGGGTGGGGAGGGTGAGTTGCTATGACAAGGGGGCAGGACAAGTGAAGCCAGATTCAGACATGAGTGGGTGACGAACACAGGTGGTGGCAAAAAGGGGAAAATGGGATTTCCCTTCTCTCACAAGCAGGGG